AATTTTAATTTTTTATTTGTTTTTATTAATTATTTCAAAGAATTTTAATAATAATAATAATAACTTTATAATATTTGACTCGAAATTTAATGGTTGTATTTTATTTAGAAATATTTACAGCAACCTATTTCCTACTAGATAATGCATAAATAGAAAATAAAAATACACAACTTGCAATAAAATGTTAAGTATATTTTTTTCCTCAAAAAAACGGTGCATCCTACAAAAAAATTTGAAGAGACCAATTTCACTCAGAATTGATGGGGGATTTCTAAAGAAATATCAAAACAGACAAGTCGGTGGCATATAATTTTTTTTTTAAAAGTGGCATTCTCGCACGAACGCCACTGGTGCAAGTAGAAATATTCGGATCACCCCAAAAATTCACATTTATCCCTCCAAAGCGTTTTTCAAATTTGGAGTCAATATCTTTAAAACTCTGAAATAATTAGGGTAAAAATAAAAAAATTTAAATTTAAACACTGTATCTCGGAAACAAAGCATATTTCGACCTAGGTTTATACGAACTTATTTTCACAAAATAACTTCCGGAACCACCCCCTAAAATATTTCGCACTTATTTACAAACACCCTGTATACATACAGTTTAGACAGAGGTAGCTGGTAAAAATATTTTTTATAAAATATACCCCATACCATTCTGAAGAAAATAATTCTAGACTCAGAAAGAGAATGAATGACTGATGAAATTTATGAAATAAGAAATTAAAATAGGGGGTGTCCACCCTGAGATCTGGAAAATGGTTGTAGGTATATGTGCAAAATAGTTTTCATAATAATTAAGTTTTCATTTTTCTAAAATTGCAGCTTTATTAAGTTTAAAAAATGAGATGTAGTATTAAATTACATTGAAAATTTAATTTTGTGAAAAATAAGTAATTTTTAATGCTAGGTATTTTTTTTTTTAACAAAAATTGTAGATTCCACAAATACGGCTGTACCAATTAAAGTTGATACCTTAGATTTATTTAATTATGTGAAATCATACGTATAGTGGAAACGGAGAAATTTAAAGGCTACGGACAAAAAAAATTTGTATATTATTAAACATTAAAAAATTCGTATATCTCGCGAATTTGGCAGTCAAACATTGGAATTAACTAAAATCACCATAAATGAGCAAAAAAAAATTTGGGACACTAGTATCTTCATATGAATTTATTTGAGCTTAAGTAAGACTATTTACTTCAAAAATAAAAACAATCAATTCTACGCTGGTGAACAACCCCAAAAATGTACTAAAAAAATTTTTATTTCATAAGGAGCATCTATTTATAAAAATTTCATTCTTTGTGTTTTGCTTTGAAGTAAAAATATACAGGGTGTAACTAAATAAGTGTAAAACATTTAAGGGGGTGATTCCTCATCGAAAAAAAGATAGGATCTTTCATATAAAGAAACTTCATTGGAGCATCCCTTGTTAAGATACAGCCCCTTAAAGGGGGTACATAAAATTTGTTTAACAATTTTTTTCACAAGCACTAAACAAGTTACAATATTGAAATTAACCTGACATTTTCTACTACCAAAAAGACACTTAGCCAGTAATTTATTTGGTTTACCCCATGGTTGTAAGGGGTGGAAAACGCAACCCCTAAAATTTATTTCCAACGTAATTTTTTGTCTTATTATTTTTTTACCATTTAANTTTTTAGAATGAAACAGGCTATCGGAAATAATTTTTTAAATGGTAAAAAAATAATAAGACAAAAAATTACGTTGGAAATAAATTTTAGGGGTTGCGTTTTCCACCCCTTACAACCATGGGGTAAACCAAATAAATTACTGGCTAAGTGTCTTTTTGGTAGTAGAAAATGTCAGGTTAATTTCAATATTGTAACTTGTTTAGTGCTTGTGAAAAAAATTGTTAAACAAATTTTATGTACCCCCTTTAAGGGGCTGTATCTTAACAAGGGATGCTCCAATGAAGTTTCTTTATATGAAAGATCCTATCTTTTTTTCGATGAGGAATCACCCCCTTAAATGTTTTACACTTATTTAGTTACACCCTGTATAGTAAAATAGATATACAGACACAGACACACGGTCAAACCAAAGTGTGGAGTTTTCATTATACGAAATGTGGCCGACTAACCAGGATTAAGTTTTAAACTCAAGTAATCACTGTCACTGTCACTTAATTTATCACAATAACATGTCCATCGATGTTATTGATTGTAACCATTAACGGTCCAATTTTCTTTCTTGAAAACGAAGCAGGGTACCCAAAACCCTCAAGTGAAAAAGTTGTGTTTTCAGTTGATTTATTTAAAAAAACTTTCAAAATTGCATATATTTAATAATTACGTTTTTATTTATCTTGAACTAGTTTCAATGAGAAACTGCTATTACAGGGGGAAATCACATTAGGGGGCTGATTTTAAGGTGTTTTAAAGATTTTTTTTCAACGATGGGTTCACAATTTTTTGAGGTAGAGTTCCCGTAAATAAAAAAAATACCGTTTCGAGAAAAACACGTTTGAAAAGAAAGTTATCAATAATATAGAGTGCTGCAGCACCATATAATAATCCTTCTTTTTCCTCATACACATCATTCTGATCTTGCATCTGTTCTTTTCTAGCGACTAGACTACTTGAACAAGCGCTCCGCCCTACCTGCTGTGCGCCCGAGTGAATTTTGTTTCAAAATTTTGGAAGCGTACTTTTGAATAGTTATACTAACAATCTATCCAAGAAAAATGATTTTTTGAACCTCCTAATGTGGTTTATCCCCTTAAGTCCAGCCACATTAATAACAAAAAATAATAAAACAAAAACAGAAAATAAGAATGACAAAATATGGTACACTACTACACCAATATTAACTTATACAAGTGCATCTTCTATTATATTTCAAAGTTTACTTGAATAACAGTACATTAGCCTTAAGAATATAATATATATATAATAATTTATTAAATATCTAATCTTTATGTCTACTAGATTAAAAAATAATCCCTATATCTGGTTCCCCATTACAGGCATCGCATTTGTACATTTTGACTTCCAAGGGGTCTTTGTGCTTTAACTGATGGCCTTTTAGATTTCTCTTGTATTTAGTTTCATAAGGACAGACATCACATTTGTACATTTCCGCCTTTGAAATATTTTTGTGCACTAACTGATGCCTCTTTAGATTACTCTTAACTTTAGTTATGTAAAAACACAAATCACACATGTACATTTGGCCTTCCGAGGGGTCTTTGTGCTTTAATTGAAGGTCTTTTAGATTTCTCTTTTCTTTATTTTCATAAGCGTAAGCATCACACTTGTACGTCTCAGTCTTTGAAATATTTGTATGCACTAACTGATGCCTACTTAGGTTGCTCTTAAGTTTAGTTTTGTAGGGACACGTATGACACATGTACATTTGGACCTCTGAGGGGTCTTTGTGCTTTAACTGATGGTCGTTTAGATTTCCCTTTTCTTCAGTTTCATAAGCGTAAGCATCACATTTATACGTTTCCATTTTTGAAATATTTTTGTGCACTAACTGATGCCTGCTTAGATTACTCTTAAGTTTAGTTTTGTAAGAGCACAAATCACACATGTACATTTGGACTTCCGAAGGGTCTTTGTGTGTTAACTGATGTCTGTTTAGAACTCTCTTGTATTTACTTTTGTAACTACACATATCACATCTGTATATTTGAATTTCGGAAGTGTCTTTGTGGGTTATCTGATGAGCTCTAATGGAATTTCTATATTTAGTCTCAAAACTACACCTATCGCACTTGTATATTTGGATTTCTGAAACGTCTCTGTGCTGTAACTGATGCACTTTCAAATAACTCTTATATTTAGTTTCGTAGCTACACATATCACACATGAACACTTGAATTTTTGTAGAGTTTTTGTGCATTAACCGATGCCTTTCCATATTCGCTTCAAGCTTGGTTTCATATTTACATTTTCTACATCGGTATAATTGCATATCTAACGAAGGTTCGCACTTTTCGAATCTAGACTTTTCAGTATTGCATATTTGGATATTGGTAACTGACATTGATGTCGCAAGGTTTTCATTAAATCCGGGTTCGCATTTAAGTATATCTTCATTCTTTATTTCCCCTTCATCTTCAGAAGTACACCTCATTTTGTTTACAATTGTTTCATTTTCCAAGTGGTACAAAGGTGGATTACTGAAAAATTNCAAGATTTTCATTAAATCCAGGCTCGCATTTAAGTATATCTTCATTCTTTATTTCCCCTTCATCTTCAGAAGTACACCTCATTTTGTTTACAATTGTTTCATTTTCCAAGTGGTACAAAGGTGGATTACTGAAAAATTTAAATTATATAAACACAAATCAAAACAAGTATTTTGAAAAGTCGACAAAAAAAATATAATGGATTTAAATATTTATTTATTTTAGTTCTACATCCCAAGATATTAAAATTTAAATACTGTAGTAATTCCTTACAATCAATTATCCCATTTACAAGTTTAAACAGAAAAATAAAGAGTTAAGTCATTAAGTTAAAACCTGATTAATAGTTCGGATTGAGGGATTCCGCGAGGTGGATGGATATTATCAATTTCAAACTTAAGGTATTTAAAAAATGCCCCCGAGGTTGTTTTTATGAATTTCGTAGACTGGATTCCATACTATATTAGCATATTCCAGTTTAGAACGAACTAGTGAATTATAAAGTAATTAATAGTATTCATGGAAAACTGTTTAGAATTGCGAATGGTAAATCCAAGAGATTTATAGGCACTTTTAGTAATGTCATTAATATGATTAACAAAAGTCAGTCTGTCAGTCTGGAGTCGAACAAAACACCTAAATCCTTAAATTGGTCAAATTTGGTTAAATTATCAATATTACATGCATAAATTAATAGAAGTAAAATTGGTCTTTCTAGTAAATCACATACAAAAAACGTTTCTTGATATTAAGTGGTAGGGAGTTAGTGTCACACCAAGAGATAATCGCTGATGGATCAGATTGCAGTTTCAAACAGTCTTCGATGTTTTCGATACATCTGAACAGCTTTTGGTCATCTGCATACAACAACATATTATACTGTCAATACTCAGATTTATTTTTACCTGACGTATACATTAACAGACTTCAGTTCACGATACTGAACATGCAATATTCTATGAGACAAATAGGACTGCAGAAAATGAGTAAAATTTCGTGTCAAGCCATAATAAAATTATTTTTCCAGTAACAAATAATGGTTAAGTCTGTCAAACGCTTTAGGCAAATCGGTATATACAAAGTTAACCTGACCTCCTGCATTTAAGATTTTTGATACATGTGGATTCAAACATACTAAATTTGATATTGTGGATTTACCTATCGTGAAGCCATGTTAATTTGGAGAAATTAGGAATTTAAAATTAAAAGCCATATTCATATAAAACAATTTCAAATAATTTGCTAAAATTGGATAAAATTGCTGACGGCCTGTAATTCTCAATTAGAGTTTCGTCATCTTTTTTAAAAACAGAACAAATCTATAAGTTGAAAATGAACTTCAAGGCTTAAATAAAATGTTGGCACAATTCTTTAGCAAAAATGCCGGGATTCCATCCAGCCTTGATGCAATTCTAGGTTTGAATTTTTTTAATGCACTTAAGATCGCATCATCCGAAAAGGTAGGGCAATTTAAATAATTTGTATCAAGCTGTTGATTCACATTGTTAGGAGAAAAACTACTAGAATGATCATTTGAAGAAGCTAGCAAAAGCATTTAATATATCACTTCGATTATTTAATAAAATATTTACGTTCTTCATTGAACTAGGTATACACAAAATATTTTTTTTTTGGTAATATAAGACCAAAACTAATTAGGAGTTGCTTGCAATTGCTGCCCAATTACTTGTAAATGTTCCCAATACGTATTTGATTTTTAATACGAGCCACCCTTAAGACTTGTTTCATACATAATTTTTTTTCTTATTACTGCCTTACCATTTAAAAATTCATTTCAGATAGCCTGATTCATTCCAAACAAAAAAGGTCCCTTGTATTTTTTGTGAAATCAACGGTTTCTGAACAAAAAATTTATTTGAAATCAATTACACTGCATGATTGTCATAGGGTAGAAATGTTATCAAACTGTAATTTATCTATTAGGTGGCTGTCATGTTGGTATTTTGTAATGGCAACTTAATTGTTACAATAATTAATTCAATAATGCAATCATACCCTGTAACTGATTTTAAATAAATTTTTTGCTTTACAAGAGGCCTTTTTTATTTAGAATGAATCAGGCTATCTGAAATGAATTTTTAAATGCTAAGATAAGAAAAAAGGTTATGTATGAAACAAGTATTAGGAGTGGCTTTTTCTAGGCCTTACGGCGGCCTTTTCTAGGGCTTAGTGGCAGTTATACCATAAGAGCTGCAGAGCTGCAGAACAAAATATTTAAAGAATCCAAATGTACTCGCGCTAAAAAAAATCTAGAAGCTTATATTATTTATTACGACGCGAGCTACGCTCCTTAATATATGCAACCTCATATACAAAATGTGTGCACAGCGAACAGTTAGATGCGTCCTTTGTTTTTATTGGCTAATCAGGCACGTGAGTACACTTTTATATGGGCTTTTGTGGCTGCAACAACGACAGCCACTGCTGCAGTAAATGCAGTAATATTCCGTATGTGGTATGTGGTGGTTTATTTCTGCAAGCGGCACGTGTGAATATTTTCGTTTAGGCGTCTACGGATGTTACAGTTATTAAAATGAATAGCGTTTCGTTTTTACAAAAAACTTTATTTGGTTCTCTGCCTTATGAGGATAAACAAAAAATAAAAGAATTAGGTGGGCCAACACCACAATTAAATATTGAAGTTAGTGGAGCAAGCCGAAGTAAAAGTTATATAAAACCATTTAACAATAATATACANGCATCATAATTAATTGAATTTAATTTAAAATTACGTGTTTTTGACCTTAAACCACGAGTATTTTGGTAATAAATTAACCAATCCATGAATCCAACTGAAGTTGTTACAATAAGATTTCTTACAGTGACACCAAACTATCAGCATTACGTATTGGTATAACCCTGGAAATATCAGTTTTGCGAATGAAAATGTTGCCATTTTTTATCCATATATATTTATAATTTTTATTTCTGGCAGTATCCCTCGCTTCTTTAAATAGTAATTTATTATTTGATGTAAGGTGTTCATTAATAAATAAAGCTTGGGAAACACCTTCAATATTTAAACCAGGTGTTGACAAACCTCTTCGTTTATTTTTCGCTGCCGCAAGTATGTTTTCTTTAATTTGACGTGATTGAAGTCCTATTATAATATTTCTTGGTTTCTGAGCATTTTTACTGAAAGATTGCACTCTATGTGCACATTCAACAACGTTATCACAGTCAACGTTCAAAAAAGAAGCAATTTTAGAGAAGATAGACAGAATATTTTCATTAGGTTTTTCGGGGACACCCTGTATCTCAATGTTTTTTAAACGAGCGTGTTGCTCCAAGTCATTCAGTTTAGAATTAATGTGATTAACTTCTTTCTTAAGAATATCATTTTCTGTCTTCAGTTGCTGAATAATCTTCATATTAGCATTCATGTCAGAAAGAGATTTCTCGAAATCCGAGATTTTATCAGAGCAAAAAGTTATTGAATTAATTAGCTCATCCTGTTTGTCCCGTACATATTTTAGTTGATTCTTCATATCTTGCATAAAAGCCAAATAAGTATTATTAGTTGTGTTTGAAGAACTTCCACTGTAGCAAGCGTTGATAATAACGTCCTCGTCCGAGCCTGACTGGCTCTGATTCGTGTTATCGTTAGAAGATTGACAAGCCGCACATCGCCAGCCTAGCCCAGGGTTCGCCTTTATAAGTTTAATTTGTTCTATTCCAAGACCAGCACATTTGTTGTGGAAAAAATTTCCACAAAAACCTGTTCACTGTACGCCTGGCGATTTCTTTGTTACTTGTAAAGAGCATTGTTTGCAAATGTGAGACATTATAAAGCCAATTTAAAATGTTTCTGTTTAAGATAGAATTTTCGAAATTTGACAACAATCGTAATGTACTGTATACGAAAATCTGATCAACTTTAACTTGTTAATTAGATTGTTTTTCCACCAAGAACTTAAAATAAACACAGAGCAAATCACTACGTCTATACTCCGCGATATTCACACTTCTTTTTTATGATTAATATGATTAACAAAAGTCAGTCTGTCAGTCTGGAGTCGAACAAAACACCTAAATCCTTAAATTGGTCAAATTTGGTTAAATTATCAATATTACATGCATAAATTAATAGAAGTAAAATTGGTCTTTCTAGTAAATCACATACAAAAAACGTTTCTTGATATTAAGTGGTAGAGAGTTAGTGTCACACCAAGAGTTAATCGCTAATGGATCAGATTGTAGTTTCAAACAGTCTTCAATGTTTTCAATACACCTGAACAGCTTTTGGTCATCTGCATACAACAACATATTACTGTCAATACTCAGATTTTACCTGACGTATACATTAACAAACTTCAGTTCACGATACTGAACATGTAATATTCTATGAGACAAATAGGACTGCAGAAAATGAGTAAAATTTCGTGTCAAGCCATAATAAAATTATTTTTCCAGTAACAAATAATGGTTAAGTCTGTCAAACGCTTTAGACAAATCGGTATATACAACGTTAACTTGACCTCCTGCATCTAAGATTTTTGATACATGTGGATTCAAACATACTAAATTTGATACTGTGGATTTACCTATCGTGAAGCCATATTAATTTGGAGAAATTAGGAATTTAAAATTAAAAGCCATATATTCATATAAAACAATTTCAAATAATTTGCTAAAATTGGATAAAATTGCTGGCGGCCTGTAATTCTCAATTAGAGTTTTGTCATCTTTTTTAAAAATAGGACAAATCTTTGACTGTTTCCGTAGTGTAGAAAAATTAATTAATCTAATGATAAGTTGAAAATGAATTTCAAGGCTTATATAAAATATTAGCAAAAATCCTGGAATTCCATCCCGCCTGTAATTCTAGGTTTGAATTTTTTGAATGCACTTAAGATCACATCCGAAAAGGTAGGGCAATTTAAATAATTTGTATCAAGCTTTTGATTCACACTGTTAGGAGAAAAACTACTAGAATGATGATTTGAAGAAGCTAGCAAAAGCATCACTTCGATTACTTAATAAAATGTTTACGTTCTTCATTGACCTAGGTATACACAAAATATTTTTTTTTTGGTATTAATATAAGACCAAAACTGACTAGGATTTGCTTGCAATTGCTGCTCAATTACTTGTAAATGTTCCCAATACGTATTTGATTTTTAATACAAGCCACCCTTAAGACTTGTTTCATACATAATTTTTTTTCTTATTACTGCCTTACCATTTAAAAATTCATTTCAGATAGCCTGATCATTCCAAACAAAAAAAGTCCCTTGAATTTTTTTGTAAAACCAACGGTTTCTGAACAAAAAATTTATTTAAAATCAATTACAATGCATGATTGTCATAGGGTAGAACTTTTATTGAACTGTAATTTATCTATTAGGTTGCTGTCATGTTGATATTTTGTACTGGCAACTTAAATGTTATAATTAATTCAATAATGCAATAATACTCTGTAGTTGATTTTAAATAAATTTTTTGCTCTGAAACCGTTAATTTTACGAAAAAATTACAAGAGGCCTTTTTTGTTTAGAATGAATCAGGCTATCCGAAATGAATTTCTAAATGCCAAGATATTAATAAGAAAAAAAGTTATGTATGAAACAAGTCTTAGGGGTGGCTTTTTCTACCCCTTACAACCGTAGGGGAAAATCAACAAATTATTTACCGAGTACCTTCTCGATAGCAGAAAACGCCTACTTAATTTCATATCTGCCAGTTTTTTGGTATTTCAGAAAAAAATTAAAAATTACTTTTTTGGCACCTTCTTTAAGCGGTTATTTCCTCATGAAGGATGTTCAAATTCATTTTTTTATATGAAAGACAGGGAAACGCGCCCTGAATTTTGTTGTAGTTATTTCTTTACACCCTGTATATTGTTATTATATCCCCGTTATTATACAGGGTGTCCCGAAATTAATGCAACAAAATTTGCTCATAGATTCTTAGACAAATTTAGGAGACCCTTATTTTTATTTTTGCCAAGTAGCCCCCCTCTATCGGAGTTACAGCCCCCTGAAATCTGCCCCTAGAATAGTCTTCTTTATATCTCAGAACTCTATTATACGAGAATCACTAAATTTGATACACAGGGGTTTTATGATATGTGGAACCTGACAGTGCTAAGCTGTTTGGCGGGGAACCCCCTTAAGACACTTTTTCGTGAGCCCCCTTGTCTTTGGAACAAAAAAAAAATTAGTCGCATATTTAAATTTCTTAAAAATTATTAGTCCTCTAGAAAGCCATTGAATTTAGAAACTTTTTTATTTCTTGATATTTTATTCGTAAAACGCAATGTTTTTGAAAAAAATGGCGAATCACGATATACATTCGATCACATTTTGCCATTTTCTTGAAAACATTGCGTTTTTCGAAAAAAGTATCAAGAGATAAAAAATGTCTAAATTTAATGGCTTTCTAGAGGACTAATAATTTTTAAGAAATTTAAATATGCTACCAAATTGCCCATGAAAAATTGTCTTAAGGGGATTCCTCGACAAAAAACGTATCACTATTAGATTCCACGTCATGCAACCTCTGCGTACCAAATTAAGTGATTCTCGTACGACAGGGTTCAGAGTTACAAAAAAAAAGACTATCCTTAAGGGTGGATTTCAGGGGGCTGTAACTCCGAAAGAGAGGACCACACAAATTTTGTTGCATTAATTTCGGGACACCCTGTATAACCACCAAAGTATAGATTTTTTTTTCTCTAGTTATACTACTAGTGGAGAATGATGGATAATGATTATTATTTGGAATAATTTTTGGAACAGATTTGGAAAAAATTACATCTATAATGTTATAAAAACAGATACAGGCCCCAGTCGCATCTTTGTATAATAATAATTTGTTGAAATCAGTATTCAGATCATTATACAATGAAGAAAAATCTGCTTTCTTGAAATTATATCTAGCATTGCAATTGCTAGCAAGAGTTTCAGTATTTATATTAATGGGTAGCTTACTTACTTACTTATGTCAAGCGCTCCATGCAAAAAAAAAACAGGAGTATAATAAACTTTAAAATTACAAAATATATCCCCATTTCCTTACCCATCCTGATCATCTTCTGCCTTTATTTCAATTTCTTCACATTTAAGATAAGGTTGCTTATCAACACTTCTATATTTCTCTTGCCCATCTTGACTACCTTCCAGTTTTATTTCAATTTTTTCAGTTTTAATGTAAGACTGTTTGTCGATATTTTTATATTTTTCCTGTGCATCAAGGCAGTCCTTTAAAAAAGCACCATGAGTACAAAGCGAATCAAAACATGACTCACATATAACAGAATCCCCAGTAGCTCTAATATTCTGCAACAAATAAAAAAGTGTTATTCCCCAGGGAATATCTACAACTGAATAAAAACGGTGTATTTTAGATTTACACAACTGAGGAACCATTGCCATCGGCCATTGATGGCATTAGCAATTTAACAATACAATAAAAGATAGCTGATTACTCTGATGCAAAACCTTCATAAATGGTTACAAGCCACATGACCAGTACTTTTGTTTGGAACAGTCATTTTATTTCCTTGATGTTGACAATTAAATTTTGGCAAGATTAAAAATTATTTAAATCAATAAGATCATGATTAATTATATTAAATCACAACATTCTGTTTAATCGACTGAGGTTGGTGTAATTTTTCACGAGATTTTATTAAACTACACTACACTACTACATCACTACTTTGAATTTTTTCATTTAATAGGACAATTATACAGGGCTTTCATTAATGTCCGAGACCCACGTGACCAATTATTATGAAAAATTTCAAGTTTAGGGACCCTAAACCAGCTGTCAGTCCAGAGGCGTCCACGGTACCGCGGCCGATAGTTTACGTCATTACTTTCTTATGCTAGTACGTTTTCCCTTGAATGTTTTTCTGGTGTACCAACATTTTTACATTTAATTCCTTTACTGACAACAGTTCTTTTCAGAACTACAGAATTTGTTTGTGTTTTTTACGTAAGTAAATAATGTATTTGAAGCTTTCCCTGATGTAGACGTTGATTATGACGTATTTAGGAAGCACAAATCAATACTTATCAAGAGATATGATGAAAAACATTGTATTTGTAAGGGGAAATCAACAGGCAGGCCAACAGTTTTAACTGAAAATGCAGTNGGTCCCGGATTTCGGATTTGCACGTATAACTCCCGGAATATAATATATATAAAAAAAGATAAAGAAAAAACCATAACATGGTGAGGAAAATTAAAATTCGTTGAATCATTGGTAAACGATGTTTTTGTTTATAGACAATATTCAATAATTTAATAAAATATATTTAGTTTATTCCAATTTATTTATACCGTCAGTAGGTAATTCGTGAAAAGATGTTTCAAAAAGGTATCAATTTCAAAAATCGTTCTTGTGAAAACCTGTAATTTTGTATAAATGGATTGTTCCTTGAAATTCAGAAGTGCCAGGAAAAGGCGTGTCCTTGAAAATTTCAAAATTTTTCACCTGCGGCGCTATTTAGAGACTCTCCGTGCACTTAATATCCCGGAATTCAATTCAACAAATGTAACAACCCTAAGCAGAACACATTCAATCAATGTTCACGCGCCGCCACTGCTTACAACCGTAGGCGAAAATCAACAAATTATTTACCGGGTGCCTTCTATCGAGAAGAGCAGAAAACGCCTACTTGATTTCACTTGTCAGTTTTTTGCTACTTCAGAAAAAAAAATTAAAAACTACTTTTTTGGCACCCTCTTTAAGCGGTTATATCCTCATGGAGGATGTTCAAATTAATTTTTTTATATGAAAGACATCGCCTCCTGAATTTTGATGTAGTGATTTCTTTACACCCTGTATATTTTTATATCCCCGTTATTATATAGGGTGTCCCGAAATTAATGCAACAAAATTTGCTCATAGATTCTTAGACAAAAAAATTTTGTCGCATATTTGAATTTCTAAAAAATTATTAGTTTGCTAGAAAGCCATTGAATTTAGAAACTTTTTTGTCTCTTGATATTTTATTTCGTAAAACACAATGTTTTTGAGAAAAGTAGCGAATCACGATATGCATTCAATCACATTTCGACATTTTTCTCGAAAACATTGCGTTTTTCGAAAAAAGTATCAAGAGATAAAAAATGTCTACATTTAATGGCTTTCTAGCGGACTAATAATTTTTAAGAAATTTAAATATGCTACCAAATTTTTTTGGCTCCAAAGACAAGAGGGCCCATGAAAAACTGTCTTAAGGGGATTCCTAACCAAAAAACGTATCACTATCAGATTCCACGTCATGCGTACCAAATTAAGTGATTCTCGTACAACAGGGTTCCGAGTTATAAAAAAAAAAGACTATTCTTAAGGATGGATTTCAGGGGGCTGTAACTGCGAAAGAGAGGGCTACTTAGCAAAAATAAAAAATACGGGTGCCCTAAATTTGTCTTAAAAATCTGACCAAATTTTGTTGCATTAATTTCGGGACACCCTGTATAACCTCCAAAGTATAGATTTTTTTTCTCTAGTTATACTACTAGTGAAGAATGATGGATAATGATTATTATTTGGAATAATTTTTGGAACAGATTTGGAAAAAATTACATCTAAAATGTTATAAAAACAGCTACAGGCCCCACTCGCATCTTTGTATAATAATAATTTACTGAAATCAGTATTCAGATCATTATACAATGAAGAAAAATCTGCTTTCTTGAAATTATATCTAGCATTGCAATTGCTAGCAAGAGTTTCAGTATTTATATTAATGGGTAGCTTACTTACTTACTTATGTCAAGCGCTCCATGCAAAAAAAAAACAGGAGTATAATAAACTTTAAAATTACAAAATATATCCCCATTTCCTTACCCATCCTGATCATCTTCTGCCTTTATTTCAATTTCTTCACATTTAAGATAAGGTTGCTTATCAACACTTCTATATTTCTCTTGCCCATCTTGACTACCTTCCAGTTTTATTTCAATTTTTTCAGTTTTAATGTAAGACTGTTTGTCGATATTTTTATATTTTTCCTGTGCATCAAGGCAGTCCTTTAAAAAAGCACCATGAGTACAAAGCGAATCAAAACATGACTCACATATAACAGAATCCCCAGTAGCTCTAATATTCTGCAACAAATAAAAAAGTGTTATTCCCCAGGGAATATCTACAACTGAATAAAAACGGTGTATTTTAGATTTACACAACTGAGGAACCATTGCCATCGGCCATTGATGGCATTAGCAATTTAACAATACAATAAAAGATAGCTGATTACTCTGATGCAAAACCTTCATAAATGGTTACAAGCCACATGACCAGTACTTTTGTTTGGAACAGTCATTTTATTTCCTTGATGTTGACAATTAAATTTTGGCAAGATTAAAAATTATTTAAATCAATAAGATCATGATTAATTATATTAAATCACAACATTCTGTTTAATCGACTGAGGTTGGTGTAATTTTTCACGAGATTTTATTAAACTACACTACACTACTACATCACTACTTTGAATTTTTTCATTTAATAGGACAATTATACAGGGCTTTCATTAATGTCCGAGACCCACGTGACCAATTATTATGAAAAATTTCAAGTTTAGGGACCCTAAACCAGCTGTCAGTCCAGAGGCGTCCACGGTACCGCGGCCGATAGTTTACGTCATTACTTTCTTATGCTAGTACGTTTTCCCTTGAATGTTTTTCTGGTGTACCAACATTTTTACATTTAATTCCTTTACTGACAACAGTTCTTTTCAGAACTACAGAATTTGTTTGTGTTTTTTACGTAAGTAAATAATGTATTTGAAGCTTTCCCTGATGTAGACGTTGATTATGACGTATTTAGGAAGCACAAATCAATACTTATCAAGAGATATGATGAAAAACATTGTATTTGTAAGGGGAAATCAACAGGCAGGCCAACAGTTTTAACTGAAAATGCAGTTGACGATATTCGACAACGTATGGAGCAGAGCCCTAAAAAATCTATCCCCCAGTTGTCTGCCCAAACAGGTATGCAGGTAGTTTTTATGTTACACACATTAAATACTCGAAACTACATTTATAATTATAATAATTATGTTGTAAAAAAATAAAAAAATTTTATATAACGTGTGTACATTTCTGAATATTTATTTTGTCGATAGGGTTCTCGGTGGGAACGTGTCACAAGGTTTTAAAGAAGGCATTGCACATGCACCTATACAAAGTCTCTATTGTTCAGCAGTTGCATCCACCAGACTACTACCAACGAATACGGTATTGTGAATGGTTCAATGAATATCTGAACAACAATGATTTATTGAAATTGAGGTTTTTTTCTGACGAGGCATGGGTCCATCTATCAGGTTACATTAATAGCCAAAATTACAGAACGTTGGCTACAGAAAACCCACACGAGTTTATTGAAACTTCGCTACACCCACAAAAAATTGGTATATGGGTAGCCGTTTCAAGGAGGCGGATAACAGGGCCAATTTTCTTTCGAGAAGTGATAAATGGTGAAAGGTATAGGGAGGTTTTATGACAAGCTTTAGAGCAAATGCATTATGACGAATTGCGGTTTGGATATTTTTAACAAGATGGATATTTTCAACACACATGGCAGCACACACCGCAGCAGAAACGGTTAGATATTTGGGAGAATTTTATGGGGATCGAATTATTAGTAGGGGATTGTGGCCTAGTCGAAACCCTGATCTTACACCTTTAGATTATTATCTCTTTCGACCTATAAAAAATAATATTTTCAAGCAGCGAGTTCACACACTTGAAGACCTAGAAGTAACAATTCGCCATGAAATCGAATCCATTACTCCAAATGAATTGGAACGTGTTTTCGAATGCATGAAATGGAGGGTAAATTTATGTCTAGAAAATAAAGGAGGACATTTTGAACACCTTTTATAATAAAAACTAAACAAAATACCATTCACCAAAACACTTTTTAATTGTGCGTTGAGAATGTTAACTTTGTTAACAAAACGCAGCATCGGAAAAAGTAGAAGTGTTTTGGTGAGTGGTAAAATTATTTTCTGTTTTGTATCGACATCAAACGTTCCAAACCTATCCTAAGATAAACAAAACTATTGTGACTTATTTATATTCTCTACCTGTTAAAACTTCTAGTTTAAATTTGAACAAGTGTAAACATGACTAATTTTTTACTTGGAACATAAAAATTTTATGGCAAGATGTATGCAATATGTAATAAATAAAATTTTTAATAAATATTAAATGTTCAACAATCAATTGTAAATTGTTTTTTTGAATTTGACTTATCCAGGTGTAAGCCGGATTTCTTCATTTCAGTTCTGAGTTAATGTAAATTTCTAAATTAATACATCAAAATAAACGACTAAAATGACATCTTTCTTATATTACCTTTTCCTTTGATAAAAATAAAATATCTACACCACTGATGCTATAGACTGATTCAGTGTTTTAATTTTTATGGAATACCAATTTGTATTGGGAAATGTAATGTTGGTTGCTTATCGTCGTGGTCACGTGGGTCTCGGACATTAATGAAAGCCCTGTATTTGAACACACACAAACATTTTTCTGAAAAGTACTCTGAAGTATACTCACTTGTCGAGATATAAACTTTTCAATTACATCATTTTCCACTTCGTTTAGGGGCACAAATCCAAGTGTTATCAATTGAATACATAATAAACAAATTTTCTGATTTTCCAATATATCAGTTAACTGAATATTACCTTTTTCCTTCAGATAAACCTCTTTTAAGTCAACCACTGAGATTTTACTGGAATTAACATATGCAGAAATAATATCCTCAGTATCCATACACGTCGACTTAAAATTAAAAGCGTCGGATAATTTTATGGAACATGTTATACACATTACATGTTTATCTCCCTGTTCCAAGTTCTGAAATATATTCGTCATTTGAAATACCCAAAAAAACTATAATAAAGACACATAATTAATATTAATAACGTGTTCTTACCACATTTGGCAAAACAATTTTTAGAACATCCCTTATGGCTTCTCCTATTGCTTGGCAATTTGTATCACTTATAATATTTAGGCACAGCCTACAAAATGCTTCTTTCGAATTGTTTACTGTTTGCATTTTTACTTTTCTGATCAAATTAAAAGTTTTTAACGATGTAGATAAAGACAACTATTCCATAACCTACAAACCCACCCCATAGATTAATAAAAAATAAAGATAGACAGAATACTATAGATGGAATCTAGATACGCCGCCATTATTCCATGGCTAGAAATTGGCCTCAATGATTTGGGATCGAGGGGGATTATCCCTCTTTATCCTGCCTCATCTCGTGTAGGCCTGGACAGCCTTCGTAGGTGGGCCCCATCCGTCGTCTACCCCGACCGCAAATGCGGCCGGTGTAGGCGCTTTGTGGGACCTCCTTTTGTCCTGGCTGGGCCCCGCCGGCTAGGGCCCTTTCTTCTGGCGCTCTTCTTGCTTCGCCGGCTCGTCTGTGTAAACCCCGGGGGTAGTGTCATGTTTATG